ACAACTGCCTAAGATTCTGAATCACTGCTTTTATTTTATAAAAATATAGTACTGTTGAGAAATAAGCAGTGGTTAAATAACTCATGCTGTGTGTTGTCTATTCATTTGTCCAAAAGGTTTGTAAGAATCACAGTCAATATCTAAAGGCCCTTTCAAATATAAGTGAAAAGAGGAAAGTCCTATATTGCCAAGCATCCTAATTTTGGGTAATAATTTTAAGTTCCATTAATTTACAACTGCTCCAGAAAAATATTCTTTTAATTTGAACAAGCTGAGAAGAAATACATTTGGATTAGCACGTGGTGGAAAGCATAACATAGATGATGCTCTACCGTTCACACTGATTAATTTTCTAAAAGTAAAGTCACATCAAAAATCTATGCATAAAAATACTGTTATTATTTTGCTATTTTCTAAAAGGCTCACATCTGTCTCTAAGGAATTATAGAAATTCCTGATGGATCCTGAGTGATTTAATGGAGAGGATAGGAAAATATTAACAATATACTTCTTGATCAGCCATTTGTTTTGCCAAGAATAGATATCTAGAATTAATGCATCAAATAATCTTAATAACTGTATATTATTACATATGAAAATATGTAATAACTATATATTATAACTATATATTAAAACTAATCAAGGAAAAAACAAACCTAGAACTAAGGGGAAATTTCCTGACAGTGAGAACAATTAATCAATGAAATGGCTTGCCTTAAGAAGTTGTGGGTGCTCCATCACTGGAGGTTTTTAATAAGAAACTGGACAGCCATTTGTCTGAATTGGTATAGATCTCCTGCTTGTGGAGGAGGTTGGACTAGAAGACCTCTGAGGTCCCTTCCAACTCTGCTATTATGTTATGTCATAAAGGCAAACCAATTCATTGAGCATTCATTTTGCAAAGATTTTACTAAAGTACCCAAAAAGCACTTTTAGCACTGTTTACTCTTGGATACTTCCCACAAAGTTTTGCACTATGTTTTCAAAAGTTCAAAATGGTGTTAAGAGGAAGTCCAGAGAATGTCATCTTTGAATGTCTATTTCTCCCCCATCCTATTTTTTTTATATATTTGCTTTTACCAGAAAAATCCACCAGAGAGGTAAGCATGGAATAGTTGAACAATTTCTTTTGTTTGATAATGCTAGCAGCCATCAGTCTAAAAGTTATCTTGATTTCTGTGAGAAAGTCATGCCATAAGTAACCATCTGCTCTTCCCTTCCCTTTTCAACATTTCATAATAAAAATGTGTGGTATGCTTTGTCATATTGTTGTAAGCTTCCCAACCCCATTTCACTTTGGCTACCGCCTGAGAGAGGGAATCTCACAATGGAATGATGTCACACATGTTTCCCATTACTGGTTGCTATAGAAGACAGGGAGGAGTGGGATAAAGAGATTGGTCTTTTCTAAAATTTGGAGGAAAATACATGGCACAATTGAACTAATCTATGAAGTGCTAAGTCCAACATAACTCCACCAAATTTGCAGGACCTGTTCTTAATTTGCCATGTTTTGACCAATGATATCACTCAGTTCTATTTGTTTTGACAAGGGGGAGGAAATTCATAATTTGATTAAGAACAAAAAGACTGACTTTATAAAAAATATTCCATAGATCCCTCTGGAAATCTTTTTTTTAAAAAAGAGTTTTCAGCAACTGGTTTTGATTTCTCACATATTTTGGATTTCTGCCAGGTATTCTTAAGGGGTTTTATGATCACACTATTGTTGGTGACTTATAAAGCTGGTTTTCATTTTGTCTACCCTTGATAATAAAGTTAGAAATTTTGATAATTAAAAAGCTATGTCACTACACAGAGTTCTTTGCCCTTTGAAGAAGTATTCCTGCAGATTTTCATGACCCATTGCCCCATTCTCAGTGGTCAAAGCATTTTAACATTCTTAGAACTCAAAGCATATGACACCAGCACAGCATGAGAAAATAGAAAAAGTATACTAATTATTGCAGCTGTTATTTCAATATTCATTTTACTTCAAATTCAAAGAATCTAAAATGTGATGTTGTTGATTATTCATCATGCTGTATCTCAGTTTCCTGTAATTGCTCTCTCATACATTTATTAAAATATTTTAAATTGTCAACTGAGTTCAAGTCCCATGAAAGCCAGCTAGCTGACCTTGGGCCAGTCACCCTCTTGCAGTCCAATCTATCTCACAGGATTGTTGTGGAGAATATAGGAGGAGGAAGGTATGGTGGATATATTTGCTGCCTTGAGCTGTTTGTAAAAATAATAAAGGTGGGAAATAAATAAGTAAGCACAGAAAGTATAATTATAATTCAATAAAGTTTCCGTTTCTTATTGCTTCAAGTTGTTTGTCCTATAGATATTATTATTTTTGTACAGTTGTCTTTTTGAACAAAATGGTAGATTATGACATGGAAAATTTATTCTAGACCATGAGTTTTCAATCCATGAAAATACATAACTTCTCACTTTAGAGTAGCATAAGATAATTGGTTTTTTAAAACGGGAAAATGATATAAATTATTTTTCTGATGGTTAAAATAGCCAAGGATTCAGTGTAACACTCTGCTAAACTTCAATACATATTGAGATAGATATTTTATAAAAATACTCTATAAATTATTCCACTGATAAAGATCTGCTACTTTGTTCTCCTTCCTTATTTCTACATGCTGAATTTAAATAGATATAGAGGTGCATGTAGCCCACACATAAAACAATTAGATTACTTTCATTTGTAGTTATAGACGCATTTAACTCTAATATTTTGCTAACCAATTTCTGTTTATTTTGCATTTCATTTGTCGTAATAATCATAAATTGGATTTTATAAATTTAAAAATATAGAGGTAGAAACTGTTTTCCTTGATGCAATAAAAAAGAAATCCAATGAGTGAAAATGCTAATCAGAAAAAAAAAACCTCTTATCCTCATGATAGTATATAATCAGAAAATAAATACACAAATTTTAGGAAACTCTAGTTCTTTAACGTGCTGTTTGCCAAATAGAAAGTCTAACAATGTTTATGTAATTTTTGAATTGGCCAAATATTTACATATATTCACACATCATGAGTAAAAGTGTTTCTGGGTGAAAATTAGTGACAAAGGGTTTCTCTCCCACCCCACCCCACCCCACTCCACATGGCACAGAGATGGACTTCCAAAGAAATTATGAAATTATGAAAGTAAAAGAGGAAAATCCCCTGGGGGTTTACTGAAAGAGTTAGATATCAGCATGAGATTAGTTACATGCAACAAAAAAGTATGGTATTTGAAATTATTTTCCAATTATTGCATCACAATATAAATTCTTGATGAACAGAGGATTATCTAATTCAGTATGAGATGGTCTCAAGATTCCTAGTCTTTGCTCCCTTCCCTTTTCAAAGATTGTGGAATATGTGGGCATTTTTTTTTTTTTTGTCTCTTCAAATCATTGTTGACTCATGGCAACTGCATAGAATAAGTCCCTGTAGTTTACTTGGTAAGATTCCAGAAGTGGTTTGCCATTGCCTTCTTCCTAGGGCTGAGAAAAAGTGACTGGCCTAAGATCATCCAACTGATCTTGTCCCCAAGGCAGAACTAGAACTCATAATCTCTTGTTTCTAGTTAGTGTATTAACCACTATACCAAACTCTCTCTCTTAAAAGATATTAAAAAAGTGAAAGAATTTATTTGCTTAAAATCCAAAAGAGCCATTGCTACTTAGAATACAGTTGCCTGATTAATCAACATATAATTTAACTGATATTTAGAATTATACTATATTACAATGATCCCAGATATGCATGAGCCTTGAATATAATTGATAACAATTATATTCTGTTGTTCTTACAGGTTGTGAAACAGTTATTTTATTCCCAATGCGTTCTAAAAAGATCTTCATGAGTGTTCATCCAACTGGTGAGATGGCACTCTTCTCCTTCACTGCCTGCACATGGATTAAGGTAACCGAAGCATTGGACAAAACTATTGTATTCTCATATGGAACAAAGAATAATCCCTATGAAATTCAGCTTTATCTGAACTATGACTCTGTGGTTCTTGCCATAAAAAGTAATTTCAACAAGATATCTGCCCCAAAGTTAATTTCTTCTGGAGAGTGGACTCACATCTGTAGTACTTGGGGTTCAGTCAATGGAACTGTATCTTTATGGATAAATGGAAAGGTTGCGGTCACCTCTTCAGAAATAGCTGAAGACCACATCATCCCAGATGGTGGAATTTTGCAGATTGGCCAGGAAAAGAATGGCTGCTGTGTTGGAGGTGGTTTCAATGAATCTTTAGCTTTTTCTGGAAAAATAACTGGCTTTAATATTTGGGACCAAATCCTCAGTGACAAAGAGATAATAAGACAATCTGAAGAAGATGCATGTAATAACCGGGGCAACATAGTGGGCTGGGGAGTTACAGAGATTCTGCCTCATGGAGGGGCTCAGTATGTTTTTAGCCCCTGAATTAATGTTCTTCAAAACTCTATATAAAATCAAACCAATAAACAGAACTTATAAAATCTGAATATATATACATATATTTAGAATTGGTCCATGATACAGTTTCTACAGGAAAAACAGAGGTATAAACAACACTCAGAAGCCAGTTATCTCTGCTTCACACAAGAAACTTTGAATGAGGCTTCACATGGCAAGAAGCCTTTGGATGACTGCCATGGCTACTACTATAAGCCAATATCTCTGCTCTCCAGATTCCGTAAAAAAGAACAGCGCTGTCATAAATGGGAGATAGCTCTCTACAAATGGTTATAGCTGCTTTCAGAACAAGTACTTGCTAAGCCAGTAAAATGAATTTTATCCACATGAAATCTCATTCATAAAGAAATCATGTATGTAGGACATAATTTAAATTACTACCATAATGAAAGCTAAAATATACATACAATATATCTTGTTAAAAATCAGCATGTAAACATGCTGGTCTAGACTGCTATATGGATCCAACATTCTCTAAGCACATATCTTAATCATACCCAAAACTATTTTTGAACTTACTTTGAATTACATGATTAGCATGTACCATGGTGAGAAGGTTCAATAGCTGTAAGGACGTTGAAAATGTTGCTAGCAGGAACTCCTGGGTTGGATTATTCTTGTTGATAAAATCTAAGGGGAAATATGGAGCTATAAATAAGCCATAATGAAGTTGAGGGAAGTGGGGTTCTACAGATCCCAGGAAAGTTAGAAAATGTCAAAATGGAATATTGAAGAAAACAGTACTCAATCATTTCTGGATTGTTGCCAAAAGATGGCTCAAATATGAAGATGGCTCAAATCCTTTAGGCAATTTTTGTTACTGGATAATAAAATTGGGTGGCGGGGGGGGGGGAACCTAGCTACTGGAAAGAAAGGTGAATTTTCATTAGTAAATCAATAGATAAGGATATGGCTAAACCAAAGTGACAAAGTAGTCTGGTCATTGTCAAAATCAGAACTGAAGACAAGTTTATCTTTTACAAAGACAAAACAATGTAATAAGCATGGATCAAACAAAACTTGAAACAATTAGAATGGAACTGAAGCACACTAAATTAGATATTTTCTGAATCTGTAAACATTGGTAGACTGCAATGGATCACCTTAGTTCAGATGATAATGTGTTATATTATTCAGAGCATGAATAAGAGATAGAATGACAATGACACCCCAAAAGAATATCACTAAGTTTGTACTGGCTATAAACCAATAAACATTAGGTTGATATTTATTAGAATTAGCATATATTCATTGAAAGAACATCATTGTTATATAAATGTGTGCTGCTATTTCAAACACAACAAAAGATGATATTAAGGAAATCTATAGTAATTTGCAAGAGGTGTTAAATGTAACAGCAGAAAAGACTGTAGTATCTCTGGTGCATAATTTGTTAAACACAATGATACAATAAATAGTTTAATATAGTTTTTGCAAAGATAATTCTTTGTTCATTGCCAATGCCTGCTTCAAATAACACAAGGATATCACTAGATTGACAACATCAGAATAAAATTTATTATAATATAGGAAAAAGAATTGCAATCCAGTCAGCCAGATTCTTTCCAAGTGTATATTATAGAACACACTATGTCAAATTCATTTGGTGTCAAATTGGTGTGCCAGCAAGATTGGATTTGGAGACATAACAGTCAGACTATAAAATCAAAACGGAGAACAAATCAATATGCTTAACTTATGCAAGAGAATATCTAAGATATTGTGGAATTAGAAAAGAGACACTATGAAAACTGAAGTGGAACAAACTCTCCCCCAAATTTCAAGGCAGAAAAGTTTGACTGGCTTTCAGAACAAGCTACCATGATAGCCAGGGACAGATGAATGATGAAAGCATTGGTCAAAAACAAGAATGTACTATCATTAAACACAAACTTTCAAGAAGAAAAGATAAGGGAAGGTATCACAGTCAGTAACAGAGGAAATTAACAAGGAAAAAGGAAAGACTTTTAAAAGATGATCGGAAAAATATCTCTAATAAATTACAGTTAAAGTAGAACTTTTCAAGAGATCTAACAGAAGCAAATGAGATTACAGGGAAATGAAAAGATAGAAACTAATAATAGTTTTATAGACTGGTAGTACAGAATGACATAAATATGAGTAGAATTTATTTCAAAATTAAGTCTTCTCAAAATTAGTGAGGAGAGCCAATAAGCAGGTATCAAATGAAAAAGCAAAACTAACACTGCAGAAGAAGAGACAATTGAAATGCTAAGAGCTCTGTGTCAACAATCAGCAAGAAACTACTGTAAGAACTGAGTACACTTTAAGCTTATGTTACATATTAAGACAAAGATATTGTCAATCAACAGTGAAGAAGTGAAGATGAAGGAAGCTGTACTGTCTTATGGGACCCTTTTGTTTGTAGGCTTTATTTTTTTTAATGTGAATTTTGCAACTGAACTATTTAAATATTCTGAAGCAATAACGTTTTTCTATTTTTATCACAAGTATGTACATCTTCATAAAGTTAGCATCTTGTCCAAGGAACTTTTAATACTGGAAGTCTAACTTGAGTTGAGGATGACTGCAGTTTTCTGGTTTGAAATTAATACAGCTGTATTATATTGTAAAATAAACTGATTTTGTATTGACTTTATTGAAACTATTTTTTATAAAATTGAGTTGTAAATAAAAAAATACTTTATCACATTTATATTACATATCATTTTCTTTAGGGTGTTCAGAATACAAAGCAAGCACTAACACAGAATGTAAGAGGGCCCCTTTCTGTTGAATTTCTTATCTATAAAATCATGTCTCTAAAAGCAGAACTATCTCAAAACAAATAGATGCCAGAACCAGGAACACTGAAGATTATGACGGAGTTATATTAGCATGTTAGCATTTGTTGTACCAAAAGTTGTTCTTAAAAAACAATACAATAATCTTCCCTTAAGCATGAAAGTTGGCTGTGTGTCTTTGGACCAGTCACCCTATGCTCAACCCACCACATAGGGTTGTTATTAAGGAGAAAATAGAAGTGGGAGCACTAGGTATGAACATTGCCTTAAGTTGAACCAAAAATAAATACCAGTTTAAAAAAAATCAGTCAGACATATAAAAAGAAATATACCATAGATTATTGAAAAATTACAGAGACCTCCAAACTGAATAGATAAAGCATTTTACTGAAATAGGTTATTAGTTATATGATACAGACACCTCCAACACACTGGTGCCTCCAGATGTATTTGATTTCAGTTCTCATAATCTCTCAACCAGCATGACTATGGATAACAGACTCTCCACAGTAATTTTTTTTGTTTCTTTAGGAGGAAAGTTTCAAAGTGAAATGCTGTGAGACTCCTTTGAGTTGATTACATTAGGAAAAAGACTCCCCAGGAAGACTAGAATTATATTTTATTGAGATGGACCATAATAACAAAATCTCTCAAGTCTGATTGTACTTTATCTGCCCACCCAATGAATCAGGCAGAATCCTGCCCAAGTCTCTTCTGAATATTATCTTGTTTCCTTAAGGAACTTGGCTTTCATAACTTTTTTTACTGATTCCCTTCAGGGTCATTTCCCTGATTCACTACAGATTCTATCTTTTTTTTTTTATGCTGCTACATATAGGTAGGATTCTTACTACCTGTTTGAGCATTTTAGTGTATGTATTAACAGTTGTTTACCTAGGTTAAAGTCAGAAAAATTAAGGAAAATTAGGAAGGACAAAGGCTAACTTTAGCTGTTTTGCACATTTATAGGTTTTCATATGGAATAAGTTGATGATGGTGATGATGATGCTCTGTCAGGAGGTAGTTTGAAATAATAAGTGAGATGGGCATTGTTACTAGTGAAAATTGAGTTTTACCTCAATCATCCTCATTGGGGTATAAATAAATGTTGATTGATTATTTAAATCATAGTTTAATGAAAATGTATTGCTCACTTGCGTTGTCCTTTAAATACTTCTAAGGAACATTCTAGCTGTATAGAAAGCCTTTATAACTGCACCATCTGACTGATTAGCCCCCATCCCCAAATGACATGTATAATGTTTGAAGTCACCTTCAGCTTAATTAAACAATTTTTTTAAAATATATGGAAATTCTTATGAAGTAGAAGCATACAAATCAAATACAAAATGTACTGTATAGGTATTTCTTACCTTGCAGAATGCTTTTTACAATAATTTCTGTATGTTCAGCAAGCAACTCTGCTTTGCTAATTGCAGCAAGGGAGAGATAATTGGATAAATTTCTGCACAATTCTTTGTTACTTCTCTGGAGAAACTTCACTGCAACTGGGACAGCCAAAGCTATGATGGGAGGGCGATTATAATTCTATTGGGGGGGGGAGAACAAAAACAGATTATTGCAGAATTACAGATTACAAATTGTTTGCACGCACACTCACTTCAGTGTTCTTTTTATTGCATCTGAAAATATCATACGTTTTCATCAGGTGTGTAGAAACAAGCTATTCTGAATTATCTTTACTACAATGATATATAAACATAAGGGTGTACTGTGGAATATCTATCTCTTTAATGATGAAATATAAATTTTATATTTACATAGAGTCATTCTAGATAGTGAGATGGGCAGCATATATATTTAATAAATAATAAAATAAAGTATCTGTCTTTAACTGTCAGTCAGTTGGATCAATATTATTAATCTGACAAGGAGCCTGAAAAAGGAGTTGATCACAACATAGTTTAAGGAATGAGGTTAGAAAAGAAAGATTCTTGAAGCAGCTGTCATCAGCATGTCAGAGAAGGAAATTTGGTTGTCTCTTCCTTCCTCATTCTTTAATTCCCAAATTCTTTGGGAAGATTTTTAAACAGCCCAATGAAAGACTATCTAGAAACAAATAAAGTTATAACTGGTAGCCAGCACGAGTTTGTTAAAAATAGATCATGCCAAACTAATTGTATTTCATTCTTTGTCAAAGTGACTAAATTAGTAGACCAGTGAAATGCTGTGGGCATAGTATACAGTATTTAGACTTCAGCAAGGCATTTGACAAAATAAACCACAACCTACCTCTTGGTAAGCTAGAAAAATGTGGGATTGACAGCATCACAATCAGATGGATTTGTAACTGGATGACAAACCATACTCATTAAGTAGTCCTTAATGGTACTACATTTACATGGAGGGAAGTAAGCAGTGGGGTACCACTGGGTTCTATCTTAGGTCCAGTACTCTTCAATATCTTCATAAATGACTTAGATGAGAGAATAGAAAGGATCTCGTCAAATGCGCAGATGACACCAAGCTGGCAGGAATAGCCAAAACCCCAGAGAATTTCAGAATCCAAAAAGATCTTGACAGACTTGAACAATGGGTCCTATCTAACAAAATGAATTTTAATATGGAGAAAAGCATGGTTTTACACCTGGGCAAGAAAAACCAAAGGTACAAGTACAATTTAGGTGAAACCTGGCTCAAAAACAGTAACTGTGAGAAGGACCTTGGAGTCCTAGTGAACGATCATTTAAACATGAGTCAGCAGTGTGTGGCAGCAGCCAAAAAAGCTAATACAATCCTTGGTTGTATAAACGAGCATAGAATCAAAATCATGTGAAGTATTAGTACCGCTTTATAAAGCCTTAGTAAGGCCACATTTGGAATACGGTATCCAGTTTTGGTCAAATTACAAAAAAGATGTTGAGACCTTGTAAAAAGTACAAATAAGAGCAACTAAGATGATTAAAGGCCTGGCAGGAGACTAAAATATATGAAGAATGGTTGCAAGATTTGGGAACGACCAGTCTAGAGAAAAGAAGGACTAGGGGAGACATGATAGCAGTATTCCAGTATTTGAGAGGCTGCCACAAGGAGGAGGATACTTTATTTTCCAAAGTATCAGAAGGCAAGACAAAAAACAATGTATGGAAACTAATCAAGAAGAGAAGTAACCTGAAATTAACGAGAAACTTCCTAACAGTGAAGATAGTTAACCAGTGGAACAGCTTGCCTTCAGATGTTGTGAGTGCTTCATCACTGGAGGTTTTAAAGAAGAGATTGGACAACCACTTATCTGAAATGATACAGAGACTCCTGCTTGAGCAGGGGGCTGGACTAGAAGACCTCTAAGGTCCCTTCCAGCTCTGTTCTGATTGATTGATTTTTTAAAAAAACCAATTAGACCATCAATATTAAAGGGATTTTGTCTGGATTCACACAATATTCAAATCATAAATCATGATTAACAAGCCACATTGGCTGAGTTTGTACAACATGCTAAGATTAGACTACAAAACTAAACTGCAGCCTAGCTTGATATGTGAAACCATCTTAAAGCTACTGGCTTATTTTGCTCTTTCCTGGATTTTTCATATGACTTTTTTTTTTTTTAGTATACTTCTAATTGGTCATGAGTTTTCTATGTTCTACTTTAATATACCAGAAATAACATTATAAAAATAGACAACCTAACAAAATTGGGATAAGTTTTTGATCACATATATTTTCATCAAGTATAATTGATTTGATGGTAGTTAATGTATGTTCATCAAAAGAGCCTTTAGAGTAAAATGGAGACAATGGAATCTTGTTCTACTTATTAAAGAACTACTGTTTTGAAAATCCACATCTGTTTAGGACCTAGATTTTAATATTTGTTTAAAATGTATACTTGGACCTGATCCTAGAGTTCTGAAGCTGAAATAAAAATAATTGAGTCTGGAGAAGTTTTAGCTTGCACTCCATTGATACGAACCAGGTTCTAGTTATATGTTGTTTCCTTTTGAAAAGGGATTAATATGATTTTAATATGATTAATATGAATTTAAGGTAAATAAACCTTAAATTTGACTTCTGAACTAGCCAGCAAAGCAAAAAAAACCCCAACAACAACAAAATATTACGAATACAAACTGTAGTAATGACAGGTTTAAAACTAACTATAAGTCTATTTCTTGATTTAGATGGACAACTAAATATTACTGTGGTTATAATGCCTGAAAAAAAGACTTTCTAGTTGATATTTAATAAATATGTACTATTTAATAAATAAACATGCATTTTTGATTCAGTTTCTTGTCTTATTTTGAGTTCTATTAACTAACTGCTGATATGTAGTGATATGTAGTACAATTTGGCCTTTCTTCAAATTATCTCCATTTTGAAATTTTAGAATAATCTTGAATGTATCAACTGGTGTAAAACTGTACATGACCTGATGTATAGATTTTACTTCCTTTCTTATCTGTAATAGAACTTAGAGGTTATGATTGAATAATTTGACTCCAGAAACTTATCTTAATTGTAATATAGACTACCATCAAAATAGTGCTTCTTAAAACTTCAAAATGTGCAGTAAAATTTACTCCAAGGCTAGTTGTCAAGCTATACATTTATCTTTATGAAACATACAGTACAGGGGACCATGCACAACTTAACGGTATCAGGCCATAGGTAAAAATTCTTATACATCATAGTTTGGAAGAATTGATTAGAGGGATGACATTTTAAATGACACACTTATATAGTTCTGCTTACCAATTTCTGAGTTTTCTAACACATAGCAGAAAATTATTAATCTGAAATATATTTGACCACTTAGAATACATAATATGATTTTGAACACATATTTACAAAATAGTATCCAGAATGTTTTCCAAATAGCAGGAATGTCCAGTGCTTTGGTTCTGAAGTTGAAAAGGTTCTTAGAAGCAGGCATGGATAGCAATTGGATCAGCTGAATTCTTGCTGTAGCCATACAATCTCAGAAAAATAAGTAGTTCACTTGAGGTAGCACTAATGTTTGCTCCTTAACTTAACCCACATTTTTTTCAGAAATCACATGGCTAGTCTATGAACCCAGAAAAAGTTGCAAGATCTTTAAGGAGGAACCAAAAGATACAATGTATATTTTCATATCTAAAATGCTTTTTTTTCCAGCTTCAGACTAGTGTGGAACACATTCCAAGAAAATACTTTTTGTGAAATCTGATTAAAGAAAGACTATTTTAGACATTCTTCCAAAGGAGAAGAACATTTCAGAGGATTTCTCATGGATGGAGTATCCTTCATTTTATTTTGCTATATGGTGTCCATCTTCTATGTGAAGATCTTGTCTTTTTTTTGTGATTTCCCATGCTTCCTTTCCATTTCAAGAAATATATCAAGAGGGAACTTCTCCCATCCTTCTTTTTCAGGATATTTACTATTGTAACCACAAAAGGAATCTTATCCACGAGAAGTTGTTAGACAATTTCTCTGTCCCTTGGAGGAAAAAAATTGAATAAGTCATCCACCTAACTTTTCCACTTATAAATTTGCGGGAGAATTTCTAAAGACTGTTTGTGTGCAATCCTATTACAAAAGAACTAATCAACATACTCTCAAAAGGTACATCATCGGCAAAACATTCTTACCTGCAAAATGCAGCTCATAATATCGGAGGCAATCTTTGCATGCGGTGTGTCTTCATCTTTACAAAAAGGTTTCAGATTGTGCTCTAAACACGACTCCCAGAGATCAATAAGAGCTTTTCCATGCTTCTCGATGGATTCAGTTTCCCTGATGGCTGAAGTAATTCGAGTGATACAAATCTCCACAACTGCTTGGTCATTGTCATTCATCTGGTAGTCCTGATTGAGATAAAATATGATAGCAGTTGAAGACTCTCCTGAATATCTGTCCAAAAGTCCATACCTGGAGGAAGGTGTTTATTCACACTTAGATATTGCCTAGCATTTAGACTGGCAGGGAGGCTGCATCATTGTGACTGATGGTTCACTAAAGCACTGAAGCATCTGTCTATACTAAAATCAAGATTGTAATTTGCATGCCTGGTGATTAAATGGCTGAACAACAAAACATATTAAAAACTTTAAACATTTGACCATGGTTTTCATAGATATGCCAAACCCAGCACATAATGAAAATAAGGTAATCCGAAAGGCACAAAAATCACTGACAAAACTAGAATACTTCTACTTTGCCAGGATGGCGCAATATACACAACTTTTGTTTGGTGCTCAGTTGGGACCATGTAATTTCTTTAACTGTCTGGACAGGGTTGCATCCAAACTTTTAAGAATGATATTTCAAGTGGCCCCTTGTATACTTAATATGGTTTTAAAGAGAGATGCAAAGGCATCAGCCTGTATTATTGCCCACTAATTAAAGGTGTAGGTTTTATTGCAATATTATGGATTTTCAAGAATTGGCCATTCTTATAATGGGCTATATTTGAGCAATTACTGCATTTAAGTAACCTGCTCAAATGGATCAATTTTCTCTAACAGGAAGAGCTATTTCATCCCCAACCTGTTTTTCTGCTCTTAGCCTCCTACTAAACACGGTTGGCACTGTTTAACCCTGGTCTCCAGGATCAGACTTCATCTATCAGATGTTTCTATATACAGCTAAACACTCCTCCAGTTCTTTGTTCTCTTAGTTATTTATTAGATTTTTTTTTGATTGGCCATCTTAAGCAACAGGGACCATGTACAACAACCATAAAACCATTTCAAACAATAAAACAAAAAACAAAAAACCTGTTCTGCAATTGTCCCCCTTGGAATGCTGCACAGCAAGCTCAGTGCCTTCTACCCATGCACTCACAGCATCTCATAAATAAAAACAGATCTTAATGATCTTCTAAAAGGCTAGAAAAGTGGGGGGCCTCTTGAATTGGAGCAGGAGGGTATTCCACAAGGTAGGGGCAGTATATCTACATCTGAAAAAGGCAGTGGTCTATTTATTTAATCAATCATTTATTCATATTCATTCATTCAATTTCTATAGTTGCCTGTCTCAATAAATGACTCTTATGCCTCTGCTTTTGTCTAACATTGCCTAATTCTTGGAGCGTGGCCACAAAACGCCTGAAAGATGCAATTCTTATCTTAAAAAAAAAAAAGAATGGTTACCAGTGCCTCTGCCAGCCCGGTGAGAATGTTCTCCCTAATGAAATACTGATCTTTATTTACCCTTTCGCTGTCTTAACATTAAACCCTACAGTTTCTGTATCAGAATCTTTAACAGGAAAATCTACTCTACTTCCTGGTTTTACCTTTTAAAAGATTTTTCTTCTTTCATTTGTGTTCATTTTTATTATGGCTGTGTTTGTTTTATATATATTAGAATTTATTAGAATTTCTATTCTAATAAAACTACCATGAGAATTTTCCTAAAGGTTTAACAGTTAGATAAACAAATGAATAATGTATAAAGTTTATATCATTCGGGCTTTAGAAACAAGATAAGCAGCAAGGAAATAATGAAGTGAGTATCTTTATGTAATAAGCACTTCTAGCAGTGCACATTTCAGGGATCCCTTTTAGAACAGAACATACTTATAAGTAACTGTAACATAAATCCTTCTCTCACTAAGAATTCAAGGAGGGACATTTGTTTAAAATTCTTGATTGTTGCCCTCTAGCCCCATTGGCTAAATATATAGGAAGGGGTTTGGGGGAAGTTTTTTTGTTCTTTGAATCTTTCTAGGAGCAGAACAGACTGAGTGGAAGAAAAAACCTGAAGCTCACAGATTACAAACTATAATTCTTCCTGGAATCCATATAAACATCTTAGGGGCAATAAGTAATTAGTGTTTTAGAGATCTGATTTTATTTTGGATATGTTCAGTCTTGCTTGGTTTCTGATGAAGCCATTTTCCCTAAGGCTAAATTCCTTTTGGATGGTACTATGCACAATTCCTTGGCTTACATTTACTCTGTGGATGCTGGTTGTTTTTCTTTAATCCTAACACAAAACCATTTCTGCTGTTATGTGGCTTATTAAAGTAAATGTCAGTTTGTACCTCAATGGAGAAGGCTGTAATCTAGTAATATACTTCAGAAGGCTGAAGTACCTGCAGGTTGACCACCACTTACTGTGGTTGAACAGTCTTTGTTAATTAAGAGAAAAGAATGCATTTTTATTCTTTGGCTATAATCCTAGGTATCTAGTTGAAAAGAGACAACCATTGTACCATGATTCCAAATTATGGAAATCAGTGATTGCTGCACCACCCTGAGCTATCTTGACTGTTGAGATTCTTACAATATGTAGAATGAAACTAATCCTTGGTCCTGTGATAACATGGTTATTTATTTATTTATTTATTTATTTTATTTATATGCCGTCCAATCCCAAAGGACTCAGGGCGGCGTACAAAATTAAAACAATCATCTAACAATAATACGATAAAATAATACAATCATGCCGCATGTCCGATCATATCCCGCCCCCCCCCCAGGGACATCAGCCCCAGGCCTGCCGGAACAGGAGAGTTTTAACGGCTTTCTTAAAGGCCGGCAGGGTGGGAGTAGTTCGAACCTCGGGGGGAAGTTGATTCCACCAGGTCGGAGCCACCACAGAAAAGGCCCTTCCCCAAGGGCCCGCCAGCCGACATTGTCTGGCCGACGGGACCTGAAGGAGGTCCAATCTATGGGACCTCACTGGTCTCTGGGAACTGTGCGGCAGTATGCGGTCTTGTAAGTAACCTGGCCCTATGCCATGAAGGGCTTTAAAGGTGATAACCAACACCTTGAATTGCGTCCGGAGACCCACAGGAAGCCAGTGCAGCTAGCGGAGGATAGGTGACACGTGGGCGTACCTTGGCGCGCCCACAATCACTCTCGCGGCTGCATTCTGAACCAACTGCAGCCTCCGAACGCTCTTCAAGGGTAGCCCCATATAGAGCGCGTTACAGTAATCCAGTCTTGAGGTGACAAGGGCATGAGTGACCGTGAGTAAAGCCTCCCGGTCCAAATAAGGCCACAACTGGTGCACCAGGCGAACCTGGGCAAAGGTCCCCCTGGCCACAGCCGAAAGATGTTGTTCTAAATTTAGCTGTGAGTCCAGGAGGACACCCAAGTTGCGTGCCTGCACTGAGGGAGGTAAATTTGCCCCCCCCCCAGGACTAATGATGGACCATCCAGTTGACCTTTGGGAGGCAAGACCCAGAGCCACTCAGTCTTGTCAGGGTTGAGTCTAAGCCTGTTCACCCCCATCCAGACCCTCACATCTTCCAGGCACCGGCACATCACGTCGACTGCTTCACTGAAAGGACACGGGGTGGAGATATATAATTGGGTATCATCCGCGTACTGATGATACCTCACCCCGTGTCACCAAATGATCTCACCCAGCGGTTTCATGTAGATGTTAAAAAGGAGGGGGGACAGGACCGAGCCCTGAGGCACCCCATAATCGAGGCGCCTAGGGTTTGATCTCTGTCCGCCCGCCAACACCGACTGCGACCTGTCAGAGAGGTAGGAGGAGAACCACCACAATACGGTGCCGCCCACCCCCACCTCTCCGAGACGACGCAGAAGGATACCATGGTCGATGGTATCGAAAGCCGCTGAGAGGTCAAGAAGCACCAGGATAGAGGAATGACCCCTATCCCGGGCTCGCCAGAGGTCATCGGTCAGTGCAACCAAAGCAGTCTCAGTGCTGTAGCCGGGCCTGAAACCAGATTGAAAAGGGTCCAGATAATTAGTTTTATCCAAGGATTGCAAGAGTTGGGACGCCCACCACCTTCTCTACAACCTTCCCCACAAAGGGGAGGTTGGAGACAGGACGAAAGTTCTTCAAAACAGCTGGGTCCAGGGAAGGCTTCTTGAGGAGGGGCCTTACCACCGCTTCTTTTAAAGGTTGCGGGAAAGACCCCTCCATCAAGGAGGCGTTGATTATCGCCTGGAGCCAGCCTCGTGTCACCTCCCTACTGGCAGAAACCAGCCAGGAGGGGCACAGGTCCAATAAACAGGTGGCGGCATTCATTGTCCTCACGGTCTTGTCCACTTCATCAGGGGTCACAGGCTCAAACTCGCTCCAGATAACATGACTAAGACCAGCCCCCGGCAACTCGGCTGGCACTGCCCAGTCGGAGTCCAGGTCTCTCTGAATCTGAGCGATTTTGTCCGAAAGAAACTGAACAAACTTCTCAGCTCTCCCCTGCAAGGGTTCCTCCGCCTCCTCCACTTTAAGAAGGGAGCAGGTCACCCTAAACAAGGCGGCCGGGCGAGATTCTGCGGACGCAATAAGTGCGGAAAAGTGAACATGCTTTGCCGCCCTTATCGCCACTAAGTAAGTCCTAAGATAATAGTGATCTTAATAGCGATCGGTCAGATTCAGAGTTACTGGCCCTCCAACGTCGCTCTAGACATCTCTTGTAGCGCTTCATCTCCCGGAGCTCCTCAGTAAACCAAGGCGCCCTCCGGGGACCACCACCACAGAGAGGTCGCAAAGGCGCAATTCGATCCAGGGCCCCGGACGCCGCCTCATTCCAGGCTGCAACCAGGGACCTGGACGAGTTGTGGACAAGGGAGTCAGGTATTTCCCCAAGCTCCTCCTGGAACCGATCTGGGTCCATTAGGTGCCTGGGGCGGAACCACCTAGTCGGCTCCCTGTCCCTGCGATGGGGGAGTGATGCTCTGAAGTCCAGCCTCAATAGGAAATGATCTGTCCATGACAAGGGAGAGATCGCTATTCCCCTTAATTCCAGATCATGTCTCCATTGCCCCGAGAGAAACACAAGGTCGAGTGTGTGACCACCCCTATGAGTCGGATACTGAATTACCTGGGTCAGGTCCATGGTTGCCATGGAAGCCATGAACTCTTGCGCCGCCTCTGA